AACAGAGAATAAACTGCCCAAATACCCTTAAACAAAGGAAAAGTACGTCCTTTATGAAGGCATAGAGCCTTTACTACATGAAAATGAAAATTAATGAATACACTGTGTACAGTAATTTACCTGATAAGACAGACCTCAGAAAAATACTTTATAAGGCATAAAGCTGTCTATGATAAAAACTAATTATCTAAGGTTACTTTTTGCTTTTTCAGGGTGTGGCTGAGTTATCCGGAGTGCCGAGTTTTCGAGGCTCTACTGTATTATATTTATTATTCTAATTTTTTCTAAACAACGTATCGAAATATAAGTAATTTCGCAAAGAGTTAACTTGGCGACAAAAATTATAATTTACGTAACACCTATTTAAAAAATAATTATAATTGCTTTCTTGTAATTAGAAATTGTATTTAAGTTAAGATGTTTGTGAAATCATTACATTTCATTCATAATTAGTTATTATAGTAAATAATATTTGTAATTTCGGATTAATTTGTAAAATTTTAACATTTAAAAATTTGTACTTTTGAACTCTTAATCTTAATTTTGTCCTTTTATATTTTTATTATGTTAAATGCCACAGAAAAAAAATTTGGATATAAAACGAAAGGTTTATTAATTACTGTATATTTTCTGTATTTATATACAAGCAGAAAAAATATAATTGTAAAAAACTAAAAATGTGTATCAACTGGTGATTTTTAAACATTATTATTATGATTATAATGTATAATTAAAGCACAAAATTCGGGTAGAAAAAGATAGTTGTACTTTACTTTTTCGATTTCACATCGAATTTTGTTTCTCTAATGATTATGTAAAATACTACTTTGTAAATTTGTGACTCAGTTTTGTGGGTTATTCTCTGTTATCAAATTATCTTTTCGAGTATTAATTAATCAAATTCCTTTTATAAACACATTTAAAAGTATTCAAAGCAAGTAATGTCTAAGATGATGACAGAAATAATTCAAGTCAATTATAACAGAATAACCGAAAATGTAAATATACATCGTTACATTACGACTTTAAACGGATTGTCGTAAGTCAAGACGATTCAAGATGTGTATTGAGTTTTTCGTTTGACTAATTACACAGTTCGTGGACAATTTGATGTTTATTTCGTCGATCGATCGAAGACATGTTCATAGAATTAATCTGATAATACCGAATTTGGGAAAAAAGAATAAAGAACTTAAACTTTGTTTGCAAAGCCGTACATGTATAGCATTCTATTCCGTCAACCGTGTTAAAATTATAAGCAGAATTGTTATAATGAATTATTTAGAAATTTTAATAACTTTTTTTGTAATCTTTCTCCATTTATGTCGAATTTTTATCTATGCTGCTATGTACCGTACAGTACATTACTAACACTTCAGTACTACAGTACATTACTAAAAATTAGGTTTAATCTTCAATAATTACGTTTTCCGCAAGAGGTAACAGTTCGAACCATTCTCCCTTTTACTAATATTATTTATTTTTGGCTTATACAGTACTTATTTTAATGTAAATGAAAATTATATAAAAAGCCATTTTACATTATTTTACGTATTTTAATATCAGGGTCACGATTCAACCTCGCACGCTCTGTCATGGACTTTTTATTTCCTGGGAAGATTCCACGAAATCCAAGAAAAACTGTATCTAGAATTGCAAGAAATTTTCAAAAATGATATGAAAAGAGATATCACTATCGATGACCTGACGAAAATGACGTACTTAGAATGCGTAATTAAGGTAACTTTTTAATTTCTTTAATTTATTCAAGGATTAGTTTTATATGTTACAATTTTCAGGAGTCGATAAGAATCTATCCTCCTTTTCCTTTTATTGCAAGAAAAAATCCTACGGAAATGAAAATAAGTAATTTTTGATACCTTAAAATTTGTTTTTCAATAATTATTTTTTATATCTTTTATTGACTCGAAGTATTAAACCCTTGTCATTGAAATAGGTAATTACGTGTTGCCTGCAAATGCGACTCTTGTCATAAATATCTATGGCATCCATCATAATCCTTCTGTTTACGAAAATCCCGAAGTGTTCGATCCAGACCGTTTTCTACCCGAAAACTATAAAAATCTTCATCCTTATGCATTTCTTGGATTTTCTGCCGGTCCACGAAATTGTATCGGTAAGTAATTAGTGAATAAATACAAAAACAAAACAAAATTATTTTATTAAAATAATTTATTTACAGGAAGTAAACTCGCCATGATTAAAATGAAAATGGTTTTGGCAAATGTTCTTCGTAATTTTAAAGTTTACTCTTTGGATCCTCAGGATAAAATTGTTACTTCATGGGATGTTATGTTAACCCCAATATCAGGTATAAGAATGTTTGTAGAACAAAGACGTATGTTGTAAAATATGAAATAACCTGAACGTTGGAGTAATTTTTATTACAAATATATATATATATATAGATCTATATCATATAATCTAGATGAGTGCATTTAAAACCTGTATCGAAATGATTCTACCTATAATTAAACTTTACTCATATATTATATTTCATATTTTTATAGATAAAAGTAATGAGAATAAAATGTATTATGATTATTGTAATAAAACTGCTTACAAGAATACTATGTTTTGCCGTTTATTGCATTTTATTTATTTATCACATTTATAACCTATATATATATAATCGAGACGAGTTGATAATAATAATAATAATAATAGTAATAGTAAAAATAATGATTATAATATCTCTCCCTTGGTCACCACCTGGTCGTGATGGGCGAGCCCGGTAATTTTACTAAACCATAGAGCAATGTAGTGCCCACCAGTGGCCGAGTGGTCTTCGTACCCTAAACACTGGGAGTTCGGTCGTGGGTTCGCGCCGCGATCGGACAGGCTGGCTGCTTGGAGTTTTCCGGGTTTTCTCCTTGCCAATAACGACTAAATAGGAGGCCAGTTCCCCATAAAAGTCCTCCCGGAAGGCATTAGTTCCCCTCGCGTAACATCGCGCCCCAGAGAAGGCAACGGGAAACCACTCTGGGTAGTAACTTTCCCTAGTATACACCTTGGCGGATTACAAACCTACGCCAGGTGTCGCCGACGTCAGGAATCTGATATGGCACCAAGAAGAAGAGGGAGCAATGTAGGCTGGAGCACAAGCTTCTGGTAGGGACACCCATGCCAATAAGTTCTGTTGGGAGAAATGAAGCTAAGGTTGACCACGCCCACATTCTGTGGAGATATTTATCATGGTAGTAACCACATCAAAGTGTGATATTGGCTCGGACGTCGCCCGGGTTAACAAGGTTTGCGTTAGTAGGTTAGGCAGAGGCTCACGTTCGAAAAATAGGCCGCAGTCTCCCTTGGTTACCGGTGGCAAAAGCAGCGTCGGCCCAAGCATGTCTACTGCAATGCCCACAACAGATGTGAGGAACCAACCTAGCTTTGGTGTTCCTGTGGCAATGCATCTGCAGACCACATAGGCTGGCAAACCACACCAACGGATGAAATGGACAATAGAAATGAAGGAGTTTATCATCCGTACTTACTACGCAATCAAAAAACTCGAAACAAACATGACAGCGTACAGAGAACAACTACACCATAGATTCACACAACAATATCCTCACCTCGCTGTCACCGAACACAGGGTTGTTGATCAAAAAAGAACAATTATACAGAACAACCTTATCTCACAAACAAAACTTTAACTTATCAGACAACAGGTTGCTGATCAAATACATCAACAGACAGAAACATTTAACATTATTAATGAAGATCACATAACCTGTCAGGATAATCCAGCAACAAGCATTGATAATAGCATATATACTAAAACTACAACTAATGATACTACAGGCAACGAATCAAAAGACGAGATAAGATTAACGAGAACATTCATTAGCTTACATGCATTCGACTTGGATTTTACACAGATTGGGAAATTATACCCCGACTTACGCGAATTCGACTTACGCGGTTATCACTCGGTCCCACCTATCGCGTAAGATGTTAAATGTGCTTTTTTTTTTCTTTGAACAAGAAATAAAATTTAAAATGTAATCAGAAATAAGATTTTTATTTACAGAATAGTAGAAAAAATTACAAAACAAACGAAATAAAATAATGTTTTATTATATTGAAGAAGTTATTTTATTGTACATTTCTATACATTTTACACTAGAAAATAGCATTAAAATTGTCAAAACCACTGCAATTCGATGAAAACTTTTCACTATTAGCTTTCATGGCAATGAATACTGCATACCGTTAATAATAAATAATCATCTTTTAATCTAAAGCAAATTAAATTTTTTTATGTAACCTTCAACAAGATTTTTAAATTTATAGTTTAAGATGACTAAATAGGAAAATCGCTACATTTCTTTTTCAGCCGTGTGTTACAGTTGGACTTGTATATTAAAATTGGTTTAGTAGCTCACAACGTATAAATAATTATAATAATACAAAATTCGGTGAAACAATAATACTTGTATCAGTTAAAAATTTAATAAAATTTAAGTACAGTATTTAAATATTTTAAATGTGGATAGTATAAAGTTTCGATATAACTAAATTCAGAATCAATCCTTTTTAAAAGGTTTCGACAATTGTAACGTAAATGTATAGGCCTACACTAAATAATTTTAAATAAAATTATAAAATTTCATTATCGAAAATTAATATAATACCAGTAATATAAATAATAATTCGCAATATATTATTTATAACTACAGGTATACCTCGCCTTACGTCGGTAATTGGTTCCAGGAAAACGACGTAAGTCGAATTTACCTGTCTCCGAATCTACTTATCACTAGGAAAGCATTTTAAATAATATATGGTTAATAAAAATCTATTTTAAGCTTACAAACAAATAAATTTTAGTTTTTAATATAGTACAAAAAAAATAATCTAAATTTACGAATGCGTGTACTGTAAATACAGTACATACTTGTATATATTTTAATATGATTTTATGTGCTTTAAACGTTTTTCTAGTCATATTATGACTTCAATATTTGTAGCGGACAGACGTAAAGTCGAATAAAATGACTTAAACTTGATTTTTATTTTTCCATATATTTTTTTAACAAGCGACGTATAATCGGGAACGACGTAACTCGAAACGACGTAAGTCGAGGTATGCCTGTACAGTATTTTATAACATAAGTTTTATATTTACAAAAAAAAATATTTGTACTTTCATCGTTTTTTAATGGTCATTCTTATACCGAATTTAGGGCGAAGAATAACGTCACCTGATTCGAAAATCTTATCTCTGTGATCCAAAGACTTCACTCGAAAATGTCGAAGAACATTGGATAAAACTGTCTTCATCTCCATCATGGCGAATCTTTGACCTGAAGAAAGGTGAATTTATCAGAAACACAGTAAGGCCCTTGTCTCCTATCACGATTACTCACCTATACAATTGCGTGGACCTGCAGAAAACGGCACAAACGCAAAGGGATGACGTTTTTCGCAGTTTTCTGGTAGAAATCGATCCGGATCGAACACTTCGGGATTCACGAAAACCGTTGGATTATGATGAATCCCATAAATGTTTATTACAAGAGACGAATTTGCTGGCAAGATATAATCACCTGAAAAGTAATTTGTGTTCATTATAATTTATGCCATTACTGTAATGTATAATTATTTTCAAAATGCGATGCATACCCACTTTCAAATCGGAAGGATTTTTTCTCAATATGAATGGAACTGGAGGATAGATCCTAATTGATTCCTAAAGACGAGAATACTTTAAACTGTTTTCAAACATTTATTACGTATTTTATATTTATTTGTAGATAATACTGTTTGATAATTTTTAAAAGGTATTTTATATTGTAAAGTAAATAACACTTTATACAATGCAAAAATAACTTAGATTTTAACTAAGAATTTTCATTACTTCCACAGCTGTTATATATAACAAAGGGAAAATACGGCGATCGGTCAAAAAATTACGCCCCAAGACCTTCATTTTTTGGACTCAGAACACGTTGAAACGTAGAGAAATTTAAAAACATCTGCAGGTTTTCTCTGTGTGTATGGTTGTTAGTATGTGTGAGTGGCACAATTTGTTGATCCTCTTTACATCTTAATAAAACCTGTGCTTTTCGTCAAAAATTTCTGAAAATCTGCAGGGTTAATTATATATCAATGGGATTGATAGTCTTAAATTTTAGCTGTCAAAAGACCAGAAAATGGAAATACAAAATGGGTGGTGCGTATCTCTAGTACGGTTAAACTTAATTACGATTTCACACGTTATGAATGAACATTTACATTTTTTTTCTAAATCCCATCCCTACCCTCAAAATTAACATTTTTGCCATTTTATAGTAAGTAAAAATAATAAAAAAATTAAATTTAATTATCATAACAGATGGCGCCACTAAATGTTGCCAGAAAAGTTAAGGAACTCTGCTGTATTTTTAAAATTTAAATTTCACAACGTTGTAATTTAACTTTTTTTCGTGTGAACAGTGCTGTATGTTTGCAATTGTAAGAGTTCACATATGTGAGGCTTAGTAAAGGTTCAGGAACCACAAGAAAATTTAAAAACACCTAAATTCGTTAATGTTGAAGTATAAAATTTTACGTCCATAAAAGAAAATATTAAATTTAATAGAAGAAAAATACTTTCTAAAAATTATACGAAGGAAAACTAGATAATGTAAGTCTTTAGATCAACTACCTGCAGTCAGGTTTGAATTAAATATTGATTTCGACTCATTCTGCAATCTGAGTTCAGATTTTGTGACACTTAGTAACGAGTGAAGAGCAATTAAAAAGTGGGGATGTGGAAAAATAACCAATCAAAAGTGGTTGATCTGGGACTAAAAATCATTTTAAAAAAACTGTGATTTCAAGGACACAGAGCTTCTTTCTCTGATTTCTCATTGTTCTAAACCTTACTTGGATGCCTTCCAATTTTAGTCTGGACACTGGTGTTGGATTGACTTAAACTTTTCTGTGAAATTTTAACATTACCCAAGTTAGTTGACACAGAGAAGTTATTCCGTCAGAACTTTTTCTCTTAACGGGAAGAACTGAAGATTTACAATCGAGCTCTGCACAATCAGTATTATCTGTAAGCATTTTGTGTTATATACAAAATTGGGATGATTTTTGTAACTGTTGAGTCTGACTCAGTGTCTATCACTTCACTTCTCTTTCACTTACCGGATTTTGCTTACCTTTTTTGGCAACATTTGCAGGCGCCATTGATTATTATATTTTATTTTAAAAATCTTAAACGTTTTAATAATATAAAATGAAAAAAGCTTAATTTTGTGGTTAGGGATTTATTTCATCAAACATTGTAAATGCTAAACACGAGTAAAATTGTCATTAAGTCCTGACTCTACTGGAGTTACTCCAAGACCTCTTTATCTTCCTACCTCTTGACTTTTAACCAGCACAATTTAATAGTTAATCCCACTAACACAATCATCCCTGCAAAATTTCAGAAATTTTCGAAAAAAACACAGGAAATATTATGGTTGCTACACATACACACACGAAGACCTATACACTCGCACTAATATTAATATATAGGGGAGACCGGGGCAAGATCGGCATGTTAAGCTTTACTTAAATTTTGTGTAATAAATACTGCTGTAAACTGAAAAAAAAAGCTTTGCATATTGTCTATTGGAATGTTACCTTACTATAGAACTGGTTAAAATCAGTTTGGAAATAAAAATAATTAAAATAATTACAACTTTACAAGAAGAGAGAA